AAAAATATCCTAAAATCTTCCAAAGCAGCACAACAGGTTACACTCAAAGTATTAGTAATCCAAATAGATATCACAATAGCAATACTGACATCTAGAAGCTAGTGGAGCAATACTTCTAAAGTGTTAAAGGAAAAACAGATTTCAGCCTAGACTTCTGTACCCAAACTTCATTAAAAGTGAAGACAAAGACATTTTTAGGAGTGCAGGGATGCAAATAACTTCCAGGGCATTGTTTCCTAGGGAGCCACTAGAGGATATGCTCCAGCAAAATGAGGAGGAAATCAAAACAGAGAAGACACCAGCCATAGACAGTAGTGGAGGGAGAACACAGTCCTGGGAAGCATCCACCCCAGATTGAAGCAAGGGTACAGAAAGTTCCAGAAATTATGTCTCCAAGTGGAAAAAAGTAGAACTAATATATTTAGGTACATGGGATAGTTATTGATGGGCAGGAAGAAGTGTTGGAACATGTGGAATGAATTAGCGATGGGTTCATGTACAACCACACAGATGAAAAAAACTGAGGCCACAGTTAACTCCAGGAAAAATAAAGGACTATATTAAAAAAAAAAAAAAAAAGGAAGGGGGGGTCACGGAACATTACCTGACCCAGAAATATTTTTGCAATAACACAAACACAGACTTTTGATTTAATTAAAATTATGTTCTAACCATTTGGGGCCTCAGGAAAGAGAAAGTAAGAAATGTGAACGGGAGCTCTAAGCCTTCATTTCCCATGGTAGGAAATCAATAGATACCTAAAATTTATAAGTAAGGAAATAGTATATAAACATGCCCTGCCAATTAGTATTAGGCATTAGTGCTTCGGTAGCAATTTTACAAAAGACTCTTGCAGGCCTCTGGCTTCACATGCCCTCTCGGGGAAGGGAAGGGAAGGGAAGCACCCAGCTGGTGGCTGTCTCCAATCATTGTTTCAGGTGTGGAGACCAGCCCAGAAGTCCTGCATACTTTTCAGACATGGAAATTGAATTCCTCTCTTCATTCACAGTCATGAATAAGGAGCAAAGTATCATCTTTTAAGCTGTTTTTCTCCCAGATTCTTCCAGAATGGAAACAAGGAGAAGAAAAGAAGAGCACACTGCCATCAGGATACAAACTTTCTCACTGGACCAATGAGTTACCTCCTAATATTCCCCTGCACAAAGGATCTTGGAAAGGATCAAAAGACACATGCATTTCTTAGTAAACTCTACATCGTGTTGTTCTGTTTTGGGAGGGTAAGGGAAAGTTGTGTCAGATGCCTGTTTCTTTAGTGGATTTGCAACCACGGAGAAATTACAGGGAACAAAGGAAAAAGAGCCATAAATACAAATGAATCCCTTTTATACAAGTCAAAGAACCACAGGACATGCTTCATTTTTTTTTAACACTCCAGGTGTGATCGGAGATTACGTATCCACACAGGAGAGTGGAGAGTTAATTAAAATTTTTGCACCTGTTCCCAGAAAGAAATGTCTTTTCGTTTGATAAGCGGGCTGGCTTTGGAGTGCTGTTTGTGCTTTTCTCTCCTCACTGGAGTGTCACAGAAAAGCAGATCAAAGAGAGCCTTCCGTCCGATGCGTTTCCGACCACCTTTCTCAGCTAATGGACTTGAAAGCCTCTTCCACTGACTGCATGGAGTTCATGTCATATTTTAGAAATGTTGTCGTCTGACTGTGTCGATAATATGAAAACCAGCTTTGATAGGTGCTTGTGGAAAACCACATTAACCGTTAATTAAATCAAGACCAGCCCAGAGGGTTGGAGTGGGAGAATCTGGCAGAATGAAACACCTCACCCCCTACCATTTGTATTTTACTTTTCAACCCGTCCTGTGACAGCGGGCTGGGAACACTTGTGATTGAACTCTCAGCTCTCTCAAGCAGGGTCATGTTTTGCTGTGTTTTCGCTTCTTCCTTTTAGTCTTTATGATTCTGTACCCTCTGGCTGACATCCCCTACCTTGAGGGGAAAAGCTGTTGGGGAGAAATCCTGCCGTCTTTCTCTTTAAGATGGTGAATGAGGGGAATAAAATAGAGCAAAGCAGAAGCAGCCCTTCGAGGCCTGTCTGGGCAGGTGGGTCAGGCTGCCTCGGGGGTGCCCATTGTCCTGCCGTGCTGGGTACCCGAGGAGAAAACCAGGCCGGGGCACCGGCACCATTAAAAGAACCCCATCCTGCCACTCAGGGCTTTGTGAGCAACTCGCTTGTCCTGGTTGCCATGGCGACTGTCTGTGGCTGGTTTGTCAGAGTGCTTGATAAAGTGGGAAGGTTATTCTTGATAGACCCAAGTGATCTTAACCTTGCAGAGCTTGAGTGTGGATGTACCATTTTCTCTCTCTCCTCTTTAAATCAGGAATGCAGGGATGGGGGCACGGGTTCTCAGGATAAAGCTGCCACAGCAGGTGGTGAGGGCCCTGCCCAGCACAAGGGACACTGGCCGTAACTGGTCTGGAAGGGAGGTCCCGTGTGTCCAGGGGGCCAGCAGAGACGGGTGGCTGGGTCACCCGCTGCCGCCTCTGGCCTGAATGGGGGCTTCAGGGACGGGGCCAGAGAGGGGTCGCCTCCGGCCCCTCTCCCGTCAGTTGGTTGTATTTGTACCTGTCTCTCCTCTCTTCCTTCCGTTTCTTCCTGCTCCCCCTCCTTCACTGACTCCCCTTCCTCTCCTCCTTCTCTTGCCCCTTGCCCACCCCCCTCCTTTTGTCCCCCACCGTCTCCCCTCCCGGAGGATGAAAGGAAAGGTAACAGCTTTCCTTTCGAGGAAATTCGAAATTTAACAGCTGATCATTTCTGGCCACAAAATTGCAGACTCTTTTCTGTCATCCGGTGGAAACCTAATTGATTATCTAGGCAGTACTTTTCAGACTTAGCTGCATCTCAACTACTGGAAGCACTCTTTAAAAGAAATAGAGCTACCGCATTATCCAGCAGTTCCACTCCTGGGTATGTATTGGAAGAAATGAAAACACCAATTAGAAAAGATACATGCACCCCAGTGATCATAGCAGCATTATTTATCATTGCTAAGATACAGAAAAAACTCAAGTGTCCATCAATAGATGAATGGATAAAGAAGATGTGGTACATATATACAATGGAATACTATGCAGCCATAAAAGAAGAACAAAATAATGCCATTTGCAGCAACATGGATGGACCTGGGGGTATTATGCTTATTAGTGAAGTAAGTCAGACAGAGAAAGACAGATACTTTATGTTTCCACTTATATGTGAAATCTAAAAAATAAAATGAATGAATATAACAAATCAGAAACAGACTCACAGATATAGAGAACCAACTAGTGGTTATCAGTGGGGAGAAGGAAGCGGGAGGGGCAAGATAGGTAAAGGGGATTAAGAGGTACAAACTACTATGTATAAAATAGATAAGATACAAGGATGTAACGTACAACACAGGGAAAATATATTTTATAATAATTTTGTATGGAGTATAATCTATAAAAATATTGAATCACTATGGAGTACGCCTGAAACTAATATAATATTGTAACTCAACAGCACTTCAATTAAGAAAAGAAAAAAAAACAGACCCCTGGGTCCCACCCCCAGAGTTTCTGATTGTGCAGGTCTGGGTGGGGTCCCAAGACTCTATTTCTAACAAGTTCCCAGGTGATGCTGCTGGCTCGGGGACCACACTTTGAGAACCACTGACATAGGCCAAGACTTACTTTATATAATTGAGGCTCCCCGAGGGTACGTTGGCTGCCCGGTAGCCACGCTGGGATGGATGCCCAGTGATAGGCGTTTTAAAAGCAGTTGGGAGAAGCAGGGCTGGTTGTTCCCTCATGTCTCTTCTGGCCCCTGGTTCTGTCCCCAAAAGGCCTCTAGCAGGACAGCCCCTCACCGTGGGTGGTCCCCTCTGAGCAGCGCCGCTCCTCGGGTGAGCCTCTTCTCAGCGCTCCAGGCCCCTCGCGGTCTGCCATTTGTCTGTGCTGAGGTCCCCCCTGGAATGCCTCTTCCCCAGCTCCACCTGTCCATCTCCACCCAGCCCCTGAGCCCCAGGAAGCCCTCCCTGACCGCAGTCGCACCAAACAGTCCAGCCTCATGGCCCTGCCAGTGGGCTGTTTTGTATTTCGGTCACATGCGTGTTTGTGCCGTGGCCTCTGCTGTACTGAACTCCAGCAGCAGAACTGCCTTCGTTCACCTCCGACCCACCTGGGCTCCCAGGTACTTGCTGAATGAGTCCTGTGGCGGCCTCCGCTGGAAGGACTCTACACACGTCAGCAGTGTTTGAAGCCATTACCAGGAGCTGACCGAGCAGAGAGAGTCTACGCAGGGAGGGCTGGGGCTGGAGTCGGAAGTTAGCCTGACTCTCGAGGAAGCAGGATGTGAGGCCCGGGTTGGCGGCCTCACAGTGGGATTGTCTCCCTGTGGGGGCAGGACTGGGTTTTTAAATTGAAAGGCGAGCATCAGTCCCCTCCTCCTGCTCCTCCCTGATTCCAAATGAAGCAGCTTTCATCTACTCCTTTACGGCAGGATGTGTAACACAGGTGAAGCTCCCTGTTTGTGTGCATGTGCAGGGTGTGTGTGTGTGTGTGTGTGTGTGTTGCCGCTGTGGCTGGATGCAGATGACTCGATCATTTGTCAAATGTAATTTAACTCCCCACAAGATGCTCTGAAACCATCCAAGCAGCGGGTGTTGTCATGGGCTTAGGTACATCTTGGAGGAGAAGTGATGGTGTTTCTTCATTGAAACTCACAGGAGGCTATTGGTCCAGACAAGAGTAAAACAAAATGAATGGATCAACCCTTTGGCTCCATCTCTTTGCACAGACTGAGTCGGGGCTGGAAAGAAATCCCATGTTGGCAGTTGGGCTCCAAGCTCTTGAAGCATCTTCAGAGCTGGAGTAGGGCCCCAAGGCTACAGGGCATCCCGCCCCTTTCTGCTTTGTTGGGTTGGTGGATTGGACGATCCCCTCTCCATGCCTCAGACGTCATTGGCTTGAGGCAGCTGCAGCCCTGACTGTGGCCTTTCTCCCCAGGGTGTCGAGGTGCAGACAGACTACGTGCCCCTGCTGA